CTCCTCAACCCCTGTATGTTTACTGCATTCGCCCATTTAACGCTCACATATAAAGTAAAAATACATACTCTCTCTCTGTCTGTCTGTCTGTCTGTCTGTCTGTCTCTCTCTCTCTCTCTCTCTCTCTCTCTCTCTCTCTCTCTCTCTCTCTCTCTCTCTCTCTCTCTCTCTCTCTCTCTCTCTCTCTCTCTCTCTCTCTCTCTCTCTCTCTCTCTCTCTCTCTCTTACGCAGACACATAGTCACATTTCATCATATTACGAATCAATAAGTATCCCATTTTAACTATTATCATCATTACCATTATTGTTACTGTCACCATTATTACTGTTATCATTGTCTATCATTATTGTCATTCTTCTTCGAGGCAACTAATACTGCATTGAAGTATAATTATCATTATTATCATTTTTTGTTGTTGTAATCATTATCATAATCATCATCATCATTTTAAGGAATATTAGGGAGTGAGAGGGGGTGGCAGAGCGTGAAAGGGAAAGGTATGTGTACAGGGAGAGGTAAACAAAGGAAAAGGGAGAGAGGAAGCGAAAGGTGGGAGGAGAGTGAAAAAGGGGATATCTATTATTGTTTTATACATTTTATTTACAAGTTTTCTGTGCAAATTTTCTCTCTTTCCAAATGCATAGATTTCTTCTGATCTACTGGCATGGCGCTCTTTGGCATATCAGAAGATTATATTTTCAATGTAAAATTAAGCTTCTAAAAAAAAAGGCCAAATTTGTCTCCAAGAGAAAGTTGAAAATTTTCCATTAGATTAACTATTAAAAAAAACTATTAATTGTTGCAATGCTGTTTCTTTTATTGATAATGTGGCCTTTTATTTTCTTATTCGAAAACCCCTTTTACAATATGAAAACCTGAGTTACAGATGGAATAAAAACAGAGAATGATTAATCTGTTAAAAATAGGATTTACAGTGAAGAAGCAAAGCCTTGTTGATTTTTTTTTCATAAAACCAATCCTGATATATAAACGTATGACTACATATAGCCTACGAGCTTGTGTTGTGACTTACTTTACTATATTTACTTCAGCTATGGGTTGTGTTACCTCAGTCTTTTCATAATCCAGGATTTTTGCCTTTTGATTTTTTTTTTTCATTCCTTCCCTTAGGTTAATGATATGGTAAATGCAGGTTGGGTTTAAATCATGGTTGCTTTTCTTGCTTGCAGTCCAGCCTGTCTGTTGATAGTTAAGTAGCTAACTGCACAAGTTCATTAGGAAGAAATACCAAAACTTCATTGTTGTTTGATTTTGAATTGCTCTCTCTCTCTCTCTCTCTCTCTCTCTCTCTCTCTCTCTCTCTCTCTCTCTCTCTCTCTCTCTCTCTCTCTCTCTCTCTCTCTCTCTCTCTCTCTCTCTCTCTCTCTCTCTCAATTGATCTTTAACTATAAGTAATTCTCAATTCTTGATCTTCACAGACGCAGATTTTGTAAATGACAGAGCGACCATTTCCCAGCCGTAAACAGATCACACATGGCCAGTTTGTTTAAATTGTGCGAGACCCGACCCAATGAAATTTCATATATACGGACATACGTAAACACAGAAATAAATGTACATTTGTCTACCCAACTGAAAGATACATATCCATATATCTATCTGTTCGGTAGATATGCATGTGTAGACTAATAGAAATATATTTATTTCTGTGTACAAACAAGCTGGAATAGTGAATATGCATTGCGTTGGGCCTCGCACAATTTTAACAAAGTGGCCGACAGTCTGCTCTGTTTTCATGGTGTTCTGCAATGGTATGGGCATGCGAAATCAAGAGAAAATATGAAGATTTACACAAGAAACACTGTCAGGAGAAGAAAAGCTGTCGAGGGACCTGAAAGTTACCACTTCATGCCCATGTTTCAGCAGCCAGATGTCAAAAGGTAATTGTTCGCAGATGATTTTTGTTGTTGTTGATTTTGTTATTGTTTTATTTGTGAGGTAGAACTGGAGAAATTTTGTTTACTTGGTGATTGGGATTGTGTATTTGTTTTCAGGTTTCAGTTGGGGTATGATAGATATGGCACGATGGTAGATTTAGCAAAAAATGAATTATATTATGAATGGCTAAAGCTATAACATTTTCTGTGGATGTAATTGGTGGACATGTCAGACAGAGGGAAAAATCAAGTCCTTACGACGACAGTTATTTTATTCCTTGGTTTACGAATTCGCCGCACTTGTTTCCCCGATTTTCGAAAATAAAGATGACTGAGAAATCGACTTTATTTTTATACCGTCGCACTTAATCCAATACGATTTGATTCCGATGTGAACAAAACAAAACTATTTATAAAATCTATTTATTTATTTTTTTTTTTTTTTTTTTTTTTTTTTTTTTTTTTTTTTTTTTTTACTTTACCGCCGTTGTCCAACATAGCCAACCATCTTGAAAATAAATAAATGCAGATGTAATAAAAATAGTAACCGCTTCCATTCGTTTCCCGGAGGTGCCGGAGTCGAGGTCCGCAGATTGTTGTAGTGCAGTGGTAAATATGGCACCTGCTAGTCTTGAAAAAGAGTATTATGCCCAGTTCCACATTTACCAATATGGCACCTGCTAGTCTTGAAAAATAATAATAATACTATGCCCAGTTTCACATTTATCAGTATACTGTAATTTTGAAATTGAACAATGGAAGCCATGAAGCGCCATACGATGTATATACCATCTACAAATTTAAGAGGTGGACATTTTTGTGATTTTAATTTTTTTTTTTTTTTTTTTTTTTTTTTTTTGCTAGTCCCTTGAGAAACTCACCATGCCATATTGTATGTATACTAGTATTTCATTAATATACCTGTTCTGTTTTCCTAGACCAGTACCTTCCCCAGTCGACGATATCTACTGTTGTCTCAAACATGATATGTCACCTACTGTTCTGATTTTCTAGTCAGTTATACCTATAGAAACCTCGACAATCGCTGGTATCTGCCGTTTGTCTCAAGCACAGTAAGTCACCGGTTCTGTCAAGAGAGCTTTGTGGTCCAGAAGCTCTTAGGATACATCTAAAAAGACATAATTTCATTACTATCAAACTGCCAATATAAATTAACAGACTTTTAAAGTTACAAGTTATTTACCAGTTCTTTACATCTGAAGGATTAAGAAAGTGGCGTGGAGTAGGTAGAGTTTTGTATCTGCAAAAGTCAGTAGATATGACTGGAAGTAAAGATAAATATCACTTGTCATATTATCAACAGTGCCTCCTTGTTTAAGCGCGATCTATTAACAGACTGTTTTATGTGAATGGTCTCTTGACTGTAATGAACTTTATTTCAAGGTTCTACAGAATATGCAAAAGATGCGTGTGATTGACTTACAGAGTGTAGCCTGTGAAAAAAGGGCAAGTGTACCCTTATTATCCAGAATGTTGTTTAAAAAGGTGAAAATGGGGACAGAAGATCGAGGCAATGACTGATATTTCCATTTTTAACTTTTCTTTCTTCTTTTCTTTCTCTCCCCCACCTTCCTCCTCTTATTATATTATTATTCTCCTCTCTTCCTCCACCACCACCACTCCTCCTCCTCCTCCTTATCCTATTTTACCATTTCCTAATTATTATTTTATTATTATTATTATTATTATTCTCCTCTCCTCTCCTCCTCTCCTCCTTCTTCCTCCTCCTCCTCCTCTCTTCCTCCTCCTCCTTCTCCTTCACTTGTTTCCTGGCATAACTAAGGAATCAATGAAGGATTAGAAGAAAGTAGAGAGTATAGAGGACACACAATAATGAAAATATTGCAAAATGGATATGAATAGTGCATTATTGTGATGTTAAATCTCTTTTTATAGATTTCTTGTCTGTCGTAATCAGGAAAGAATATGTACAATATTATCTTAATTTCCATTTTCTTTTTTCTCGTTTTTTTCCTTTCATAATTACTTTATATACTTCTGTTTCCCCTCTGCTGTAAAGAATATAAATACGTTGAATAATAAGCAAAATGATTAATGTGTATTTAACGATTTCCCTTGTGGAAATACAAGTGCCATGTGCTCCAAATGGAGACCAATTATGTAGGTATTTCTCTCTCTCTCTCTCTCTCTCTCTCTCTCTCTCTCTCTCTCTCTCTCTTCTCTCTCTCTCTCTCTCTCTCTCTCTCTCTCTCTCTCTCTCTCTCTCTCTCTCTCTCTCTCTCTCTCTCTCTCTCTCTCTCTCTCTCTCTCTCTCTCTCTCTCTCTCTCTCTCTCTCTCTCTCTCTCTCTCTCTCTCTCTCTCTCTCTCTCTCTCTATCTCTCTCTCTCTCTATCTCTTATCTTCATCCTCTCTCTCTCCCGTCCTATCTCTCATTATCATTCATCCTCTCTCTCTCCTCTCTAATCTAATCTATCTATCTCTCTTCTCATTATCATTATCAATCCTCTCTCTCTCTCTCTCTCTCTCTCTTCTCTCTCCTTCTCTCTCTCTCTCTCTCTCTCTCTCTCTCTCTCTCTCTCTCTCTCTCTCTCTCTCTCTCTTCTCTCTCTCTCTCTCTCTCTCTCTCTCTTTCTTCTCTCTCTCTCTTTTCTTTCTCTCTCTTCTCTCTCTCTCTCTCTTTCTTTCTTTTCTTTCTTCTTTCTCTCTCTCTCTCTCTCTCTCTCTCTCTCTCTCTCTCTCTCTCTCTCTCTCTCTCTCTCTCTCTCTCTCTCTCTCTCTCTCTCTCTCTCTCTCTCTCTCTCTCTCTCTCTCTCTCATTCTCATGCTCTCTCATTGTATTTTATATCAGTTACCGTCCGTTTAATGTCTTCTTATTTTACGTATTATCAATGTAACCATTTTTACTTTGGCCAAGACTTTAAAAATACAACCTGACAATGATTTAAAGATATATAACATGTCTCTAATACATTTCGTTTTGCTCATGTACATAAGAGAAATTTTCTAGTTCGGGGGTCATCTGAATAAAGGTCGTCAATTTGCTTAAATATGATTTTATTATTATCAAACTGCCAAATGTAGGAGGACAAGGATGTGGAAATATCTTACTCTGACTCACTCCTGCCATTGTCATCTTTTTTATCATAAAAAATCTACCACCCAGAGTTAAGATTTCACTAAAGTTACTATAAACAACTTAGGATGAGATCATTCTACATGTCTAATGTAATGATCTACAGAGTAGAAAAAATAATATACTCTTAAAAAATAGTATTTACAGACTCTTTCGGCGTAAAGGCAATGTAATTTGTATAGTACAGCTTAAGTCACAACTCACTGCTATCAACTGTATTTTACATTTTATTTTACCAAGAATCCTCAGGCCTCTTTCGTAGCTAAGAAGCTAATTTATTCATTGATACGGTATTTGTGTCACTGTTTATTCACACTGTATTTATGTTATATATTCACCAGTTGGGATTTTCGAAAGGGGGTTCATTTTATTTTTGTCATATATATCACATTCTGGTCAAAGTCAGGAGCAACATTGCTTTCGAATGTAGGAAGTTTGAGCTAAACAGGAATAAATTTGACAAAACATAAGACAAAAGAGGAAGCAGCGATGTCCATTTTATGTGAACCAATCAGCTCCTTAGCCGTAGAGAAGAGGCGTGGCTTCTAGGCAAATCTAGATTACTTTGACTAACCTATAATCTCTTCAAAGCGTTTCAGGATCTTTTACAAAATACAGTGGACTTTGCCAGTCACCTTTAACAGCCGCACGTAGCAACTATAATAGAGAAATCACCCATTTTATCCACCTTTGCGTCCCTGATGATAATCATTGGGGGTCGTAGGTCTTCCCTTTGCCGCTAAGTGGGCGTGTCCAAAACTGGTCACGCCCACTTATTGACATATTCCATGTTTCGCGGGATCATCAAGGAGAAATGTCCATTGATAATTCCATGCCGAGGGTCAACCTCAATATTTAAGACTGTTTAAACAAAGGCAAAGGATTATACATATTACCCCCCTCCACTTTGGTATGCCTTGGCTCTCATTGCATTCGCGCCTTCTGCAATGTAACATTTCATACCAATCAACATTTATAAGCATTATAATACCTGCACATTATCTCAGTTATTTATTTGTCTCTTAGATTCTTTATTCTTTGAGGGACATGTTTAGGATCTACCCGTGTTTTCGAAATACTTTGTTTGTTGGGTCATCACACTATTAGTACTATTATTATTATTAGAACTATCCTTGTTATTATCATTATCGCGATTATGGATATGATTAATGTTAATATTATCACTGCGATTATTGTTATCGTTATTGTTATCATTATCAAAAATGGAAGATGAATGAATTTAAAGCAGCCTGGGTTAAAATCAACAGCACCTTCTTTTCAAAGATGGAAATATGCTTTATTGTTATTATTGTTATTATTCTCAAAAATGGAAGATGAATGGATTTAAAGCAGCCTGGCTTAAAATCAGCACCACCTTCTCTTCAAAGAAGAAAAGAATATGCTATATTTATACACTGGAAAGCAGAACGACAGCTCTCAACAAAAGAATATTAAAAGATGAAAACAAAAGTCCGAAATATTGGATATCAGCGTAACATTTCAAGGAACCACGTACATATATATGGCAGGTTTTCCTGTCAGAGTGAGAGAACATCTTGACTTGGGCGGATAAGTGCTTTGAGATAACTGAAAGGGAATACGTTTGCCCGTTTGATTTCAGCACTTCATCTTGACTTTTAAAACCAGGATTCGTGTTTCCAGGACTTCGCGATCTCCACTCTTCTTGCCACGCGGATTCCAGGTTTTTTGAATGCTGAGTCGCCAGCCAGAGCGACGGAATTCCAATTAACCTGAGAAAGCTGACTTATTTCGAATGATTCTTTAGGATTACAACAAAAAAATAACAATGGTTAGTTACTGTCTACATGATCACTATTTACAATTCTAAGGGACGGTCATGTCGCAAACAGACCCAAACATGGAAGAAGTAGGTAGGTTAAGTGGATATTAGTAATACAATTTCAAGATTTAGATCTGAGGAAAAAAACATCTCTGCAATGGCAGAGATTAAATGCAATATCAGGTTTCAACGAGAACAACTATCTAATTACATACTATTTTGGAACAAGCCTGAAGAGATGTCTGTAGAGAACATGCCCTTACACCAAACTCTGTTCATTAAAGTTATGGAAAGCAGCTACAGGATATCTATGTACAGTCTACGTCGCTGAGGAGGTCCCCTTGACCGCTTCGGGACTCGTCGCGTCCAGGCAGCCGTGTTTGGTGAGGTTTAATATGTAAGTGTTGACGTTCGTGAAGAACTGCTGGGCCACGTCGTCGGTCATCTTGTTGGAGTAGTAGTCGAGGGAAATCATGAACTTCCCGACGAAGGTCTGGAAGGTGAGCGTGCACGCGTGGCCGGCGAGCGCGCTGGAGACCGAGCGAAGCATGCGGGTGATCTCCACGGGGCCGTCGCCGTACTTGCCCGGCAGAAGGTGCTGCAGGTTGCCCATGTTGGTGGTGATCATGTGCGAGTGCGTGCGGTTCTGGCGGGCGCGGCGCGTGAGCTCGTAGTTGATGTGGA